TAACTGGTAAAACAGTGTAACCCAAGACCAGACAGAGCATAAGAACTCTCTCCGGGAAAAAGAAGGTAACAAACAAATCGTCATCAACTTGACGCGCCGCTTCGCCCCGCCCCGCCCCCTCCTTCCCTCTAAAAGATAAAAGAGGCGAGGTTCCTCTTTTACTTATCTTTAGATAGCTAGCTCCAAGGAGCTGACAGGGCTCCCCTCAGAAAACCAGCATTGAATGTAATGAAATGGCATTTTCTGGGTGAGCCCTGGGGGCTCCCAGGCACCCCTTCCCCACCCCCTCTCTCTCCAATCCCTGGGGCTGGCCTATTGGCACCCCTTCCCCTCCGTTTGGTGGGCGGGGGTGGGAAAGGGGGAGGGGGGGGGGGCAAATTTTCCATTTTTCTTCCTTTCTGGGTTCTTACCAGTTGGGGTCTGTTTTGGGGCGCCTACCTTTCTGGGTGCTTAACCCCGGTCAATAGAAGACATGAATATACTCTCAAAGGGGGAAGTTTTCATAGGACATTGCTCCCTTCGTCTCTCTGAGGGAACCAGGTTCTGGCTCGTGGTTCCCGGTAGGCTTAAGAACTCCATATGAATGAAGTCCCAGACTAATATAGCTAATATCAGTCTGATAGTTCCAGGGAGCATCCGGAACTTCTCTCAGAAAATACTGTTAATATTTAGTAACTTTTTTTTTTTTTTTTTTAATAATGTTTTGTATTTGGTGCTGTTAGCATGCATTAATTATGTGAAGAAAACACCCGGCACAGGTAGGGTGTCAATTAACATGGCACTGATGGAGCTTGTTCAGGAATAACAAGGAATAACAGTAGGCTAAAATATACTATTAGCTCAATGAGGCTAAATTAGCAAAGACATGATTTTAAGCTTATAAAAATAAGGTGCATAGAATCCACTATTGACTTTATCAGAATAAAAGTGGCTATGTACAGTCTTAAGCAAATTGCCTGCTCTACAGTTAGTCTGCTAGAGGCCTGTTTAGCATCACCTGCTGCACTGCCCCACCAGCTCACCGTTGGCTGCCGTACTCAGAGATCAACTGTCGACCAGTTCCCTGTTATTACCAAGCTAACCACATCAACAAAAGATTGATCTGAATCTGGTCATTTTTTCCAGCTTGTGTATTCTACTCAATACCTTGGATGCACAAATGTTATTTCCATCATGCAGAGTTAGCTGAAGACATTATCTGACTGGCTTCATAAATTACAACAGTGGCTATATTCATTTATATATTCTCCAAGTTGTTTGCATGAAACGAGAAAATTATTTACCTGATTTTTTCTTTTTATTGTTAAAACTTGTTTTTGTTAAAAACTGATTTCCAGAAACTAGATAATATACACATATATATATATATATATATATATCCCCCTCGTTCTGACATGCTAAGGGAACAAGCAAGCGTGTATTTAGACTTTGTCTACTATGTCAGATGAAAATAATTAGTTCAATGGTGGTTCTTGTACTGAGAATGACCAAGATGCGTCATAAAGTTCAATCACTCTAATGTTCTTTGTAGTAGACATTCTTCTGAATGAAGATTTGATATACAGTATATATATCATATATTACACAGAATATATATATATATATATATATCCCAGAAGCAACGCATCTGGTATGTACAAGACGCCTTAATCCACTTGACCATCACGACCGGACAAAATGAGGTGATAGCCGAGGCTATTTGAACCACCCCACCGCCGGCACTCGGATAGTTATCTTGGGCATAGCATTTTACCAAATCACCTCATTCTTTGGGGCAACACGTGAGGAACACAAATGCGAACAAGCCTGAATGGTCCCCAGGACATATGCAACTGAAAACTCACACCCCAGAAGTGACTCGAACCCATACTCCCAGAAGCAACGCATCTGGTATGTACAAGACGCCTTAATCCACTTGACCATCACGACCGGACAAAATGAGGTGATAGCCGAGGCTATTTGAACCACCCCACCGCCGGCACTCGGATAGTTATCTTGGGCATAGCATTTTACCAAATCACCTCATTCTTTGGGGCAACACGTGAGGAACACAAATGCGAACAAGCCTGAATGGTCCCCAGGACATATGCAACTGAAAACTCACACCCCAGAAGTGACTCGAACCCATACTCCCAGAAGCAACGCATCTGGTATGTACAAGACGCCTTAATCCACTTGACCATCACGACCGGACAAAATGAGGTGATAGCCGAGGCTATTTGAACCACCCCACCGCCGGCACTCGGATAGTTATCTTGGGCATAGCATTTTACCAAATCACCTCATTCTTTGGGGCAACACGTGAGGAACACAAATGCGAACAAGCCTGAATGGTCCCCAGGACATATGCAACTGAAAACTCACACCCCAGAAGTGACTCGAACCCATACTCACCCAGAAGCAACGCATCTGGGGTATGTACAAGACGCCTTAATCCACTTGACCATCACGACCGGACAAAATGAGGTGATAGCCGAGGCTATTTGAACCACCCCACCGCCGGCACTCGGATAGTTATCTTGGGCATAGCATTTTACCAAATCACCTCATTCTTTGGGGCAACACGTGAGGAACACAAATGCGAACAAGCCTGAATGGTCCCCAGGACATATGCAACTGAAAACTCACACCCCAGAAGTGACTCGAACCCATACTCCCAGAAGCAACGCATCTGGTATGTACAAGACGCCTGGTGATAGCCTCGGCTATCACGTGATGGTCAAGTGGATTAAGGCGTCTTGTACATACCAGATGCGTTGCTTCTGGGAGTATGGGTTCGAGTCACTTCTGGGGTGTGAGTTTTCAGTTGCATATGTCCTGGGGACCATTCAGGCTTGTTCGCATTTGTGTTCCTCACGTGTTGCCCCAAAGAATGAGGTGATTTGGTAAAATGCTATGCCCAAGATAACTATCCGAGTGCCGGCGGTGGGGTGGTTCAAATAGCCTCGGCTATCACCTCATTTTGTCCGGTCGTGATGGTCAAGTGGATTAAGGCGTCTTGTACATACCAGATGCGTTGCTTCTGGGAGTATGGGTTCGAGTCACTTCTGGGGTGTGAGTTTTCAGTTGCATATGTCCTGGGGACCATTCAGGCTTGTTCGCATTTGTGTTCCTCACGTGTTGCCCCAAAGAATGAGGTGATTTGGTAAAATGCTATGCCCAAGATAACTATCCGAGTGCCGGCGGTGGGGTGGTTCAAATAGCCTCGGCTATCACCTCATTTTGTCCGGTCGTGATGGTCAAGTGGATTAAGGCGTCTTGTACATACCAGATGCGTTGCTTCTGGGAGTATGGGTTCGAGTCACTTCTGGGGTGTGAGTTTTCAGTTGCATATGTCCTGGGGACCATTCAGGCTTGTTCGCATTTGTGTTCCTCACGTGTTGCCCCAAAGAATGAGGTGATTTGGTAAAATGCTATGCCCAAGATAACTATCCGAGTGCCGGCGGTGGGGTGGTTCAAATAGCCTCGGCTATCACCTCATTTGTCCGGTCGTGATGGTCAAGTGGATTAAGGCGTCTTGTACCAGATGCGTTGCTTCTGGGAGTATGGGTTCGAGTCACTTCTGGGGTGTGAGTTTTCAGTTGCATATGTCCTGGGGACCATTCAGGCTTGTTCGCATTTGTGTTCCTCACGTGTTGCCCCAAAGAATGAGGTGATTTGGTAAAATGCTATGCCCAAGATAACTATCCGAGTGCCGGCGGTGGGGTGGTTCAAATAGCCTCGGCTATCACCTCATTTTGTCCGGTCGTGATGGTCAAGTGGATTAAGGCGTCTTGTACATACCAGATGCGTTGGGAGTATGGGTTCGAGTCACTTCTGGGGTGTGAGTTTTCAGTTGCATATGTCCTGGGGACCATTCAGGCTTGTTCGCATTTGTGTTCCTCACGTGTTGCCCCAAAGAATGAGGTGATTTGGTAAAATGCTATGCCCAAGATAACTATCCGAGTGCCGGCGGTGGGGTGGTTCAAATAGCCTCGGCTATCACCTCATTTTGTCCGGTCGTGATGGTCAAGTGGATTAAGGCGTCTTGTACATACCATATATATATATATATATATATATATATATATATATATATATATATATATATATATATATATATATATATATATATTATATATATACACACATAACATACAGTATATATATATTATAATCATTGTTTTAACATGAATAATTGTCATTCTCATCGCTTGAACCCCAGAAACAGCTAATAATTAACATTTGATGTGGTAAACATAATATGAATACTGTAACTTCATATGATGTCCACAGATGGTCATGTGACATCACCAGCCAGGGGTCTATAGGTGAAATTTACAAGAGGTTTGGGCTCCTTGCAATTTACCAAGTCAGGTTATGATGATAAGCATTCTGGTTATATTAGGTTAGTATACAACTTTGGAAATAGGAAATGGCAGCAAAGGGTTAATATAAAGTAATTTATTATAAGCACATGCTGCAGCAAACGTATGTGGTCCAGTGATTGCTATGCAGGAACATGTAAAGCTTTAACCACGTGCTCCTTAAATACTTAGGACACAATTCCTAGCACAGCAGCAATGCATGTTCCTTACAGATGTACAGCACATCACCCTACCGAGTGACAACAGAAGCATGGACTTCTTCAAAACTCTGCCCAAGTCTGACATGTTATGGATATAAGGCACATATAAAGCTTTACAGGATAGATGAACACTGGTTATATAATCTCACTTTCTAATGTGTCAAAGATGCCAGTATCATCTTGAAAAATAAGGACAACAGTTAAAAAGCCCCATACTTCTGCATCTCAAATGTAAGAGTAATACTGAGAAATCTACCCAACTACACTTGCAAGGTAGCCAAAGATTAGAGCATGGAGATATGAACACACAAATGGACAGAAGCTAACCCTCTTATTCTTGTCGTCAGACAATGGTAGGAGGCAAAAAGGAGAATACAGTCTAGTTAGGAGTTAAGACAAGGTAAACCATGAGTGCCGTGAGTTGCGTGCAGACCTCCTACTGGATGAGAGAGCCAGCTTACTCTGGTTGTCCTGTGGTCTGAGCGTTCGTTCCAATACTGTGTTTATGGCCTGCATCCATCGTGATCGCTCATCTGACGTTGGGGCAGACATGACGAAGGTTCTCTCTGGAGTTTTGAGGGAAAATGAAAAGTCGTGATCCTTGCAGCCTCTTGGGACTCCTTCTTTAATGCTGTAATTGTCATCCTTGTAACCAAGAAATATTTCTCCTCTCGGGTAGGCATCCTGAAATAATACATTCCATATCTTAGCTAAAATGGCATGTTTCATTTCTAACAAAAAGGTAATTGATTGTGCATTATATTCTTTCATTTGGATTAACCTTAAATTAAGATGTAAAAAATATGATTCGCCTTCAAAGAAGAAAACATATATTTACAGCATTTTAAAAACTTGCTCTTAATCTTAACATAAATAAGATATCAGATGATCATTATGCCTTTGCACCAAGGACTATTTGGCAAGAAATACTAGAGAAATAAATCACCTTTTAATTAAGGCATTTCAACATGCAAACAAGGATTTAAAAATTAAAATGTCTGACTATGGTCAGAAAAACTGTGCTGTCAACGTAGTGTATCAGTAATAACGTTTTGTGAGCTTCCCATTTTTCCTTGGAAGCTAACATGCAGTCTTTCTGATATATCGCTTTATTTGCTATCTCTGAAGACGGTGAAGCTCTGCACTTAAGCTAAATTGATCTGTATACCATTTTCCATCCAAACTTGTTATATAATGCATGATTTAGGTAGACTAGCATTATCCACAATTAGTTGTATTATAAATATGTAGTTCAAAATTTGATGTGAAACTGAGAATTTAAATCATTGCACATTATTAAAACAGAGTAAACAAGTCATTACAAAAAATGATTCATATATTAAAACAATATTAAATGTTACAAACCATTGGACCTTCATGATACATGAGCTTACGGTCATCAAGAATAAACCAGCGTTTTCTGTAGGCGTCTCTTTCGTTGGGACCCGTCTTGGAAAGCCAGCCCTCAATAACAAAGTCGTTGGTTAAATATGGCACCAGCTGCAAGATTGGAATTTATAGTAAGTGATATACTGTACACAAAAACTAGCAATCACAAATTAAACAAAAATATAGGAAAAGGCAGATTTTGTTACTATATATAGTCAAAAGATAGTTTAGCCACACTTCAATACAGAGTCAAAATACTATACTGTACATGTATTATAAAGCCAAAAATAAGTCACTGATAATATGCTCCTAAAAGTCTGGGTTCGTGCAATCTTCTCTAAACTTTTACTTAAAGGGAAAACACCTCTGAGACTTCTCAATCAAGAATGATCCTTAGACAGTCATCTCACAATACTACAGACCTGAAGGCATAAAACAAGAGGTGGGAACTGTTGCAGAACAGTGGCCTGGGTATATACCCTCTGACTAAAGGAGGGTCACAAAATCCAAGGGCCTAGCATAGTTTGGTCTAACTACAGGAATGATTATCTTGAGACTTTGAGATGATTTCGGGACTTAGCGTCCCCGTAGGCAGGTCATCAACCAGGCCTCCTTTTTGTTACACATCCCAGGAAGCAACCTATAGTAGCTGTCTAACTCCCAAGTACCTATTTACTGCTAGGTAAACAGAGGCATCAGAGTGAAAGAAACTCTGACCATTTGTTTCCGCATCCATTGGGGATTGAACACAGAACCTTAGGACTACGAATCTCGAGCACTGTCCACTCAGCTGTTAGGCCCCCCTGATCCCCTGGGATGCATGGTCTCCAGAAAGATTAACGAGGCAGCAGACGGTGAGCGGACATTTTGTACATCAGGAGAGCAGAATGTTTAGGAAAGTGGTGTTTGAATGTATCAATGATTGTAATTACAATAAATACTCTGAATTTATCAAATGTTGAAATGATATTGCACTTAAGTAACAATACAGTATGTTAACTGGATATTAATCAACAATTTGCACAAACTTTTATGCAACCAATTACTGTATTTGCTGAACAATAATATTACACTTACTTCTTCAGCAGCAACACTAGGATATGCAACCATGAGCCAATTTAACTTTATGCTACGTATGGCCATATACCACTGTATAATTGTTTCCCCACTCTCATGGTACACATACATGTGCCGTGTAGAGCCGTCACACATATATGACAACTGAAGGCCATTGTCTTGATTCATTTTGCTTGGCGCTAAGCACACATTCAATTCAGATAATGGTATTGTTGCTTTTGGTTCTTTTGAGTTCTGAAATGTGAAAAAACCAGCAGTGAATGTAATGAAATGCCATTTTCTGGGTGAACCCTGGAGGCTCCCTGGAGCTATCAGACTGATATGCACTATATTAGTCTGGGGCTTCAGTCAAAGGAGTTCTGCCTACCGGGGACCACTAGCCAGAACATGGTCCCCCTCAGAGAGGTGCAGGGAACAATGGCCCCAAGGAAAACCCTCCCGTATTTGGGGGTATCCCCCTATCTACCATCGACCAGGGTTAGGCGCCCAGAAAGTTAGGCATCTCAAAATAAACCCCACTTGGTAGGATATTGCAAAAAAAAACAAGAACGAACAGAGAAACAGAACTCACAAAAGAAAGAGTAAATAAGCAACGTCATTCACCAGTGCCTCGCTGCTTATCCACGTGGCTCTCCCTCCCCCTTGGGGGAAGAGAAGCTCCAGACCCTTATGCAAGCTGCTGATACCTCAGTTCGAAGGCTAAGCATCAAAACCAAAATGAAACCACTGACTGGAGGGAGGGAGGGTGCCAGGAAGGAGGGGCCTCTGGGGCTCACCCAGAAAATGGCATTGCATTACATTCAACGCCGGTTTTCTGTGGGGAGCTCCTTCAGCTCCCTGGCGCTACTTAACTAAAGATAAGTAAAAAAGGGGACTTACCCAGGAGGCTACTGCACCGCGTGCCTCAACTCGAAGACGAGACAACTGGTTGCAACCTGCAACCCAAGGCAACACATGAATGACTGGGACCAAGAACATTTACCAAATAACGGGCGGCCAGGACCCTGTTCAACCTCCAAAATCCCTGTGCCCGAATGTCAGCCCAAGACATGTTCCCAAACACAGTGGCTAGGGCAGCAAACTTACAAACATCATGAGCACGAGGGTAGACTGCAAGCTGGCTAGATTTAAGAACACTGCAGACGACCTGAGAGACCCGAGCCTTAGCACAGGGAACAAGGGAAATCGGATCAATCCAAAGTGCGTCCACGGCCACAGAAGCAGAGCCGCACACGTAATGGCCCCGAACTGTAACCGGATACAACACATGATGCACCCTGGCCTGATCAACCAAGCATCAATAAAACAAGGATTCCTCTGGAAGCCCGTCATCACTTTCTTCACCAGAAAAGAATAAGGCTGCAACCAAACAAAACATCCACCAGGACCAAAAGAGCAGAGACCTCTGCACTGGAGGAGAGCAGGAAGCTCCCTGACCTAACCCCCAGAGACCAATGCCAACAGAAACAAAGCCTTCTGAAATCAATCATGAACAAAAAAGGCCACCACAAACCAAGGAGAAGGAAGAAGAGAGCATCTGGTGCAAAGACCAGGTCGGCTCAGGAGGCGCATGAGCAGACCGTAGGCGAAACAAAGCATGAGAAAGCTGACGGAATGAGGCAAAAGGGACATCCACCCTGAATGCAAACTGAAGCAGCTCCGCCAGTGCCACACAATAAGAGGCAATGGTATGAGGCACAAGATGACAGTCCTGAAAGAGCCAAGAAAGGACAAGACAACCCGAACAGGAATAGAAGACAACGTACAAAGAGACGAAAAGTCAAACAGAATGCCAAGACTCTCCATACTGTCGTTGAGACAAAGACCACAGGTGGGACACCTTCAATGAAGCCACCTGATCACCAAACAAGAGATGATACATGTCAAAAGGACCAGAAGCAAAGAGTAGAGAAGTAGATTGAATCAGCCATGTAACAGACTGGCTCGAGCTGCTGGAAGAGGCGGAGCAGTGGAAAACGCCCCAGGTACAGACACTGAGCAAGCAGAGCCTGAAACCAAGGCTGGGTTGGCCACCACAGGACCACGAGGACAACTCTCCTGCGGGAAGACTCCAACTGAGCCAGAACTTGAAGCACCAGCTGGATCGGGAAGAAGAGGTAATGTACATGTAACCTCACCTCAACCAGTCCTGCTGAAAAAGTGTCCACCGCGACAGCATCACAGTCGGGGAAAGGCGCCACATATATCGGACAGTGGACAGGGGAATAAACCATGACAGGCCGTCCGCCAGGATGTTGGACACTCCCCGGATGTGAACCGCACAGAGCTAAACCCTGAGAATCCAGCAGATGTGTCACCCGAAGCTACCAGCCCCAAAGAGCTAAGGACTGAAGAGAACTCATGGTTCAGACAATGAACCACCAGAACGCAGTTCTAATGGAGCCAGATCGTAAAGCTCAGAGCGACCCGAACCCTCCACAGCGAAAGCCAAACCCCCCCAAACTCTCACTCTGTGCTGTGAGCTCAACGGAGGACGAAGCCCACTGCCCCTTTTTGGCCTGATGAGCACTGATTACAAAGCTCCAGCCGAGACACGAGGTGTCCGTGAATACATCGAGTGAAGGATCAGGGAGGTGCCAGGGCATTGAACCCTGAAAAACCACCAGACGGGCCACCACGAATTGGTTAAGATGCGTGAAAATGTGAGGTGCCAGAAGCCGGCCAAATAGAAGGCAATGAAAATGAAAAGCATACCTGCCCCACACCATGAAACCTAACCAGTCCCTGAACCCCGGATCAATCGGAGGGGCCAGACACATCATCCAACAACCCGGCCCCAAAATTAGTCGGATCTGGGACAGAGAGGTCATATGAAAGGAGAGGCAAGGAATCCAGCGGTTCAGATGGGACAAGTCCAGAATGAACTGAAGATTCGCACAGTCCCGTTTCGGCACTGGAACAAGCGGGAAACCCACTTGAGGGATGAGGTTGTTTCAACCACGCCCAGTCGCCCACGCCCACATCAGATGACCCGACAGGACGCAGGGGAAGAAGCCCGCACTACCAGCTCCAAGCCTTCGAGAGGAGGAGGAGCCACCCAATGCCATCACAGGCCGGAAAACACAACCCAAAATGCCCACGAATCCTGAGATCAAGCATGGACAAACAGAGCCAGCCTTCCCCATTACCCCGTCAATGGGGTGACCCATGAAGGGGCCGGCACCCACTCCGAGAAGCCGACCAGCGAGCAGAGTGAGCACTGCACCGACCAAACGAAGACGGCCCCGGCGGCGGCACCGGCACAAAAGCTGGCACCAACGGCCCACCTCGATAAGCAGAAGCTGGAGCCCCTGCACGATCACAAAACCTGTGCCAAGCCCCAAGAAGCAGTTTGCAAGCCAGGAAGACCCAGGAACCCCAGAACGCACCCAATATGGGGACGAATGGAAAATGCCAGATCGCACAGGAGGAAAAACCACCAAGGACCTCCCGAACCTCCACAGGAAGAAAACCTCTGGAACGAAACCAAAGAAGCCAAAGGAACCTGGAAACGAACCCAGAGGGAGCCCTAACTGCCACATTTGCTGGTGGAGAGCGCACCACGGAAAGGAAAAACTTCAACAAGTGCCCAGAAAAGCACACAAAAGGAAGGGTAAGACACATAACCCTGACAAAACCCCTGGCTAAAACGGACAGATAAAAGACCAAAAACCGATGACCGAAGGCGTGGGAGCCAGCAGAACATACAGGGCAAGGACACCGAGCCCAAAACCAGGACCAAGAACCCAAACACAGACAGAAAACACAAGACTGGGCGAAAAGACTAACACCCAAATGTTCCCAGAGGAACAGACAGGGTAGGACGCCCCAAAGAACAAAACAGAGAGACGATGGCAACAGGAAAAGAAAAAACTCCAGAGGGATATGAAAAAATACCTCCAAAACGCCTTAAGGAGGGCCACTAACAATATCCAAAGTAGACTGAATAGTGAAACCAGGCAGACCTCCATGCAAGAAATAAAAAGAAAAAACCCACAAAAGTACAACGACAACAGGAGGAACAGGAAACACAGCCGCCTCTAGGTATGCGTGCTGTGCAGCACCTTGCACCCCAACCATCAACAACAACACTTCCTACCCAGAGCCAAACATAGGCCCGAAACTGGGCCCCCAAGGGTGGGGTAAATGCCGAGCAGCAGGAACTCCAACAGAAGTGAAGGCCCAAAGATCCTAGGGAAAACAACCCTAGAACCCAAGGGTAGTACTTACAGGACACTTATGGAAGGCAGCCCTAAGCACATGCAGTTGCAGTACACTACATTACTCCTGGCCACCGTGCCACAAACAGCAGGAAAACACCATAGGTGAACAAATTCCAGCAGGAAACTGAGGCCAGAGTTGACAACCGCCCCAGAGCAGTTCAGCCAACAAACTGAGGTGTGGGCAGCCGGTGTGAGGGTCTGGGGAAGGGGGGAGGAGCTGCGCAGACAAGCAGAAAGGCGGCAGTGAATGATGTTCGCTTGTTTCCTTTGTTTTCTTTTTGTGAGTTCCGTTTTTCTGTTCGATCTTGGGTTTTTTGCAAATTTCTATCAAGTGGGGTTTGTTTTGAGTTGACTTTCTGGGTGCCTAACCCCAGTCGATGGCAGATATGGGATACCCCCAAATACAGGGGGGTTTTCCTTGGGCCATTCCCTGCACCTCTCTGAGGGGACCATGTTCTGGCTAGTGGTCCCCGGTACGCAGAACTCCTTTGACTGAAGCCCCAGACTAATATAGCGTATATCAGTCCAATAGCCCCAGGGAGCCCCTTTGGCTCCCCACAGAAAAAGAACATTACATTATTACATTAGGTCCATAAATATTTAAAATAAACTATATAAATTCCAAATAGCTCCTGCTATAGTATTTATAGAAATAAATGTTGTGTCTGTTAAAATTAATCTACTATTAAGTTACTTTTGTATTCAACTACATTAGAGAAATACGTAATATACACTAACCTCTTTACTATAATATTTTAAAGATTTGTCAGAAATAACAAATTTACGAGGAAAATATTTGTTTTCATCACGAGCCTTTTTCATTAACGTTCCTTCAATGGAGTTGTTGGTGATGTAAGTTTGCTTGTCAACATTAATAAACTCTTGCCGCTCATACTTGGCACGGATCCACTGCTCTAGTAATACTCTGAAAAGGAAACATACAATATCAAAATGCATATTGTGATAATGCAATATATAATAGTAAGAAGATGTTTCCAACAAAATTTTACATTTAAATAAAATAGAAAATGAGATGCATGTCACTACTGACACGTCTCAAACATTGTTAACAGTGCATAAAACACTCACACTTGTGTATTTGTGAAACTTATTTAAGGAATTTCACAAATACACAAGTGTGGTTTTTTATCCTATGTTATTATGTCTGTAAGAAGACATTACATTACTAAATTATTAACAGTGTTATATGCTACTACTCTCAACTACAACAGACATCAGGCATTGAAAATAAGTATTTTTGTTTTGTATTTATTTATATATATATATACAAGAGTTTCTGAAAAGCCACTAGCATGCATAGCATTTTGGGCAGGTCCTTAATCTTTATTTTCCCTGGAATATGACCTGCCAAATCGTTTAACAACCAGGTACCCATTCACTGCTGGGTGAAGAGAGGCTACAGTTAAGGATTGGCGCCCAGTCAATCCTTCCCTGGGCAGGATAAGAACCCAGGCCAAATCGCTCACGAAACGCCGGGCGAGTTTGTTACCACTGTGCCATGGGGGACTGCTATTTCTCATGAATGCCCTCAAAAACAACTTTGTCATGTCAGTTGAGAATATGACTGGATCTCATCTCTCATGACTGTTAGGTAAGTGGATGTCTACACTTATCACTGTTAATTCAGACAATATGTTTATGAAAATGTAAACAAAAAGCTGATACTGATGGCAGAAGTTACACAAATTATATACTTTAGGAGTTACCAAAGTAATGTTTTGAGAATTGTGGCTACATCCTACAAACTTACACTCGACAAGACCAAGTTCAGCAGGCTGGTCCATAGCTGAACTGCACCAGAGATTGACAGGGCTCTTTACAGTTGCAGACGGTGAAAACGAAGGGACTGCTTTCCAGCACACATGCAGCTTAAGTAATAAAAGCAGCTAAGAATGGTACAAGCAGGGCACTGCAGAGTGAGTAAATAAACAACTTCACATTACCCAAAATAAGAACCTCCACCCTCCCAGAGTCCTGCAGAAAAAGTCAAAGACCCTTGCCCTAATCAAGGGTAGGTATTCCCCCACAGGCTAACCCTTGAAGGACAGACACCCAAATCCACAGGAAAGGTAATCCTGGCTAGGCAGGGGCAACACCAGTGAGCACCTACTGAAGTGAGCCCTAAGTCTATACAGTTTGAGGTAAACAGTTATTCAAAACCCACACAACAAGAGAGCCATATAAACACATGCACATGAAGCTAACATTAGAACCAGAACAAGCACAAGCAAAGGCCCCTACAAGACAAGAGTTCAATGGATGGCCAAACACTTAACTGGAAAAAACAGGAGTCAACAGATGAAGATGACATAAAGAGCACATGCAAACAAGGCTGCACCAATGACTGAAGGGATGATCTTGGTTGGTCTTGTGAGTGTAACTAGTGGGGGGGAACAACCTAACTATTGTGTGCCTAATATCAGAGTTCTTCATATTTACCTTGTTTTCAGTTTTGTTTCACTCTACCTTTCTGGTGGTGTATTCTCTCAGTTCAGGTGATCTAGAATTCCTTGCTACTTGTGCCTCATTTAGTGGACCAGGTTTTGACCTCTGGTCTCCAACAGGCTTTTTAAGATATCAAGGGCCTATTATGGCATAATGTAATTGCCTAAGTTACACAATATAATTACCCACATTTTCTAATTACAGGACGAGAGCTATGCTCATAGGCCTGTTGTGGCATGCTGGGATTACCCACATTTTCTATTATAATTACTTATGTTGAGCAGTACCTATGTAAGTTCTGTTGTAACATGTTATTAATTAAATTTCTATCATCTAAAAATTGCACTTGGGATATATCCTTGAAGCAATTTGTTCAATTAATTAGGCCTAAGAATTATTTTCTATAATGTATACATCTGAAAATTTTTATTGTATTCTCTAATTGACTGCCAGGAAATGTGCAGAATAATTCAGAATAATTTATTTTGCCAGGAACAGGTCGCCTGAGTGTATATATGTTTGGCTTATATCAAGCCTCAACCCCCTCCCCACCAAGGGCGAACTGCCGCCCCTTCCCAGGATGCAACCCCACAACAAGGTGACTAACTTCTGGGTACCTATTTACTGCTAGGTAAAAAAAAAAAAAAAAAAAATGGACACAGGCATTAGGTGATAGAAAAAAATGCCCAACTATCATCTCACTGGATAATTACATAAACAACATTCTCATCCTCATGAATATGTTGCACTCAACACGTACTGTGAAACAAGGTATGTATTGGGTCACAATTCGGTACTTACGTAAAAATTTCAGACAGTACTTACGGGGGATCTCCTGCTCGAGGTATTCTATAGCATGCAGGTACGTGGACTTCATATTTCTGCTTAGCTTGTTCGTTGCCTACCGCGTCCATCATCTCCACTTGCTCATCATCCCATCTGTTGCAAGTTTTTGAAAACTATAAGTCATTTTCAGTACAAATCACCACATTAGTACAGTACTGTACTGTGCAAATCCTACATAGAACCCAACGGATGTACAGTACAAATTGTATACAAAATGCTATTTTAGGCCTAGGCAGAAATTTGTGCACATACTAGATTGTACAAAAAGTATTTGCATGAATAACACTTCTACAGAATATTATGTCTGAGAGTATTCTTTATTTTTAGGCACGCAATTTTTTGTAAGCCTCTGAAGACTATAATTGTTTGATATATCCTGAATGGCCTTCCTACAGTCCTAACTCCTCCTCATGGCATTAAACCTATTTACTAGCAAAGTTACCATTAACACACACTTATTTTCTCACTCTCTATGATGGCATTTGCAGAGTGCTCTCACAAGTTCACGTTCTGATATGATGGATATTCACAAAACCTTGTTAAATTAAATACAATGCCAACCATAGTTTGAACTATTCTCAATGGCATTCATATGGCTTCACCTCTTACATTGCACCTGTCTAAAAAACACGAACAGCGTTGAATGTAATGAAATGCCAATTTCTGGGTGAACCCCGGAGGCTCCCTGAAGCTACAGGGGGAGCGCTCCCATCACAAAACTTTACAAATGCAAACTGAAAAATGTGCTCTATGGTACAATGTGATATAGTATACGTATATTTTATATTTTGCATACAATAATTGTAAATCTGAATTCAAATTGAAGCAGGAAATAGCAAAAATGTGCAAATATATCATACAGGCTCTTATACAACAGAATCTACATAGATGTATGCAATACAAGTGCATCATACAGTTTGTAATACTGCTGTACAGTAAAGTACACTCATTGTTAATTAGAGTACTAGCATGTAAAACAACCTGTTGTACAGCAACAGTGCCTTCATAGTCAAAACAAGGCCATCAACCAGTGTGTTTACACTGCGGCACCTACAGTCACATACTAGTAGGTCAATAGTCCCAGAGGCTTCAATACCCTTCAACCATATATACTGAATATTAATCTTCCAACATTTATACCAAGTAGTGAAACTGAAGCAGCACATTGCATTACTGACAATCACATTACAAACAGCTAGATACCTTATACTGTACACTGTCTATATACTGCTACAGTACTCCAATACTGTACCACTTTTTGAGGCAGGAAGCTTGTTAGGATTATTGATGTCTCCCTAGCCAAGGGTGAGGGTTAGCTACGTGGTCACCCATTCACTTTCTGGCCTCCACTCCACTGTGCACTTTATACTTGAACTTATCTCCAGTATTTATGTAACTAATATTCAATAATATAACTACAGTATGGCATAAGGTTTCTCTAACACCCCCAATAGTTCAGAATTTCATTTCTTCATTCAGCTGCATGGCACGTTAACAATTTGTACTTATTTATTACATCTCTCAGATAATCTATTTCACCATATTTCAGAACTCATTTATGTCTGTCATTCTACAAGAATGTTTAAATCACTTTTCATGGTTTACATTACACATTATTATTTAAACTGTCAGCACTTCCTGCATGCACTGATTGTTATCCAGTTCATCAACTTAAAACATCAAATTTTCCTGAAATTGTCCAATTAAGTTTAAAACAGTGTTGCATCTCAAAAGTATTTTATCAATCACTGTACAGTACAGTACAGTACTTAAATACTGTTCAGTTAAATCAAACATGAAGAACAGAAGAAATTGGGCTTTAAGTGAATATGAAAACTTCTTTCTACTCCCATTGGACAGACTCATGCCAGGGTTACATTTTGTGATGGAGAATCATTTCAAGCATCCCTGTTGGGTCACATTGGTGCTAGGAGGCACTAGAGTAAATTTCAATCACGCTCGGAGTGACCTTAAGAAGGTTTACCTGCACATTTAAAAGCCCTACAAGGAATCACAGAAGCCACAAAGGGTATCATTCAGAAGAATGTGAGGTGGCTCAATGCAAAAGACCTCATGGTAGTTTGGGTGCATACTTCTGGTAGTGGTGGGAGGAAGTGATTAGACAGACCAACTAGTGATTAATGAGGGTGCTATCTGGCGGTCCTGTGATGCCAAATAGAGTCTGGTAAAGCTATCATAATAATGAATCTTCTCAAGGTTATTCCAGGCTGAAATGATAATTTCCCCAGTACTGTACATCCCTAGCACTGGCATGATCTACCAAGATCATCTGGCAATATCTCTGTTGCTCCAGTGCAGAATGACCCCCCCCCCCTGCCCTGAGTGTCATGATCCTGTCCAATGGAATCAGAACAAATCTTGCCTTGGTTAACATTCAAATAGAACTTCTCAGAGTGTGCACAAAAATAAAAATACAAAATAAAAACCCATGCCAACACGTGCCAAGTGTCACAATTGCACTAGTCAATATTTCAAGCACGTGGCAATAAAATAGGATGGGGTTGTACCATGTAAAATTCATACATGTGAGAGTCTACTGTACACATCAATGTTGAAATATGTTGCACAGTTAACATGAACTAGAACTGTTTAAAAGTAAAACACGGTTTTGTGTTACACATCAAGAGATAAAATACAATGTAAGAGTTTCTCTTAAGCTTAGAGAAAGTTGAAATGTAATACAAATATATTGTTCAGAAAAAGGATAATGTGAAAACCAAGAGAGTTTAAATATGGATTCACAGTCAAGACACCAAGGATGAGGATATACAGTGCCTCAGTTCTGTCAAGGACTGGGATATACATTGCCTCAGTACTGTCAAGGATGAGGATATACATTGCTGCAGTACTGTCAAGGATGAGGATACACAGTACCTCAGTACTTGTCAAGGATATACAGGGGTACATCGGTTTAAGAGTTTAATCCGTTCCTGGAGACAGCTCGTATTCCGAAAACTTGTAATCCGAAGCTAATTTCCCCATAAGAAATAATGGGAAATGAATTAATCCATTCCTGACTACCCAAAAACCTCACTTCAAACTAAATTTTATACCTAATTCATCTAAATAAACCTACAAAACAATGTTCAAGTTATTACTTACCCTTGCTGATTACTGCTGTTGGTGTATGGAAGATGGTGAGGAGGAGGGAGGAGGAGGAGAGGTGTTACTGTTTGGAAGGGGAGTCTCTTTCCATTATAACATCAGGCAGTGAGGACTTCACTGGTGTGCACACACTGGCACGTTTTGCCTGCATACCACTAGGACCTGCTTGTGGCTCACTGCTTGCTTGTCGTACTAAGAATCTGTCTAAAGACACTTGTTTTTCCCTACATTTTAACACTTGTCTGTAGTAAGACATCACATTGTCATTTAAAAGGTCAATGCAACAGCCTGCTACAGCTTTATCTGGGTGAGTTTTTTCAACAAAGCTTTGCAGTTTTTCCCATACTTCACACATTTTCTTAATGAGGAAGGGACATCCTCTACTGCCTCTACTAACAACTATTTTCTTAAGTTGAACCTTACCACTGGCTTTCTTGGGACCCATGGCGAGATATATAATAACTTTTATGCTCAAATGGCCAAAAATCTGACAAAAAACTGTAAATCCTTGTGAAGAATTCAGTTGGGAGCGTCACTGGGCGCGAGGCCCTGGTAAACTGAAGTGCGATCTCCGTGCCACCACGTGCTAGTCGGCCTGTACGCGTATCAACACCCTCGCCTTCCGAGGCAAATTTTCCGAGCAAATCCTGCTCGTATTCCGAAAAACTCGTATACAGGGACACTCGTATTCCGAGGTACCACTGATGATTTCGGACTTAGCGTCCCCGCAGCCCGGTCCTCGACCAGGCCTCCTTTTTGTTACACACCCCCAGGAAGCAGCTCGTAGCAGCTGTCTAACTCCCAGGTACGTATTTACTGCTAGGTGAACAGAGGCATCAGGGTAAAAGAAACTCTGCCCATTTGTTTCCGCCTCCACCTGGGATTGAACCCGGAACTTTAGGACTACAAATCCCGAGCGCTGTCCACTCAGCTGTCAGGCCCCTGACGATGGTGAGAGACCAGGCCGTGGGGAACACTGATCCTTGGAACCAACACAAGATAAGGGATGTGCCGTTCTCGATACCAAACATGATATACACTACTGTATATTCTAATACATTTATTTTGGATATATACTGTAGCTGTATCTTCTATGTATCATTATATACAATTATTTCTATATACGTATAAGGGAAAACACAGAGAACAATGATAGATGTTACCTTGATTTGGGGGACAAGCCAATACAGAAATACAGTACCTAAAATCTGAATACAACACAGATGGGTTTTTAATTTGTTGAGAACTTACCTTTCTTTAATTAATCATGTTTCTCCACATGGGAAGCTTGTTGAGCAATGCAAACATGTTTACAAAAAACAAACAAAAAAATATATCAGTGCTATGTTAGAGTATATTAGTTTGATGATTTTGAAGTCTCACCCTAAATTAACGCAACTTTTGTAACACTAATAAAACAGTTACACAGTTAACCCATTTCATTTTACAATCTAAGTTATCATGTTCACTATTCTGTGGCACCTTCATGGGGTTGGGCTGGCACTTGACCTTCAGTGGTGAGTGTGTATAAATGGCGAGTCCTCGGCACATTCTCATCCCATTGTGTGACAGTCAATGTCACACAATGGGATGAGAATGTCACACACAAGACAGTCAAAATATGATAACCAGGAATTACTAAAATATAGTTATGCCATGAAACAGTCTATTGCTAAATACTCTCGTTTAGCACAGTAATCAAGAATTACAACATACAGGTGAGTGTGCAGTATATGGAAAGCAAAATTTTGAACATGCCACATGTCACTTGCTAGGACAGGTGTCCTCATCCACCGTGGGCACTGTTTGCCAGCTAGGACCAGTACAAGTTTCCACACCTGACATGATAGCGATCTCTTCTGATAGTATCATCAACATCACCAAATCGAGCATTATTTGACTGCCCCCCCCACCAACCTGTACTATAATTGAGGGAAAGTTAAACATTGAAAAATTCCCAATACAGCCCAGAAAGACTAACAGAAAATACATTTACAGTATATACAATACTGTAGTCTCAAAACCTCCTCCAAGCAATACTGTACTTGAATATAATTTGTTACTGCCACTAGAGGGCATGGCAACTGTAAACACAGGTGCCTGATTAAAGGACCCGACTTTCGTCCCAAGGCTCCTTCAAGAGACACTGGGGGTAGATGAGAAGAGAGAGGGATCGGGAGTAACCAAGTGGCACAATCATAGAGCAGCTGTTCATGTACACCCAAGGTCTTCTTACATTATTGCACTTGGTCGCTTCCATAGAAAAAAATTAATCCCAGAAAAACTTCTCAAGAAGAATAAAGCAGGCAACCAGGAAGGGCAAGACGTATCTGTGCCACTGAACCAACCTCAGGATGCCACAGAAGGAGAACTGGGAGCCAAGAGAGCTAAAAAAAGACTGTGGCAGAACATACTTTAAAGAGGGAAGGCTGCCAGGAGGACAGGTGTTCCCAAGCCACAGCCTAAAAGCCTAAAACCCTACCACAACTACCACACCAGATGTTCCCATGCCACATGCCCAAAATGAAGGGGAAAGGGGGAACAGAAGAGAGTGAAGCACACCTCCCTCCACATCCCAACCTCATGGACAGAGCTGCTGGATTCAGTTTACAAAACTGCACAAGTAAGGTGCAAAAGATTGCCTTTAAACTCTGGCAAGCTGTCAGTAAGTGCTTTAACAACTATAAAAAAGTCAGAGGATACAAGTAAACAAAGGCTATTTACTAAAAGGCTCCTAAGGAAAAAAACGTTTGCAATATCAAATGAGGATAACCTCAATAATAACTTCTTATTGGTGTCAATTTTTGTAATCAATAATAACTTCTTAAAATTAGTGTCAATTTTTGTAACTTTGCTAAGTTTATTTTATTCTAAACATAGTCAATCTTTATTGAATCCTTATTTGTACTTGTCATCTGTATTCTACTTGTCTAATTACATTAATTCTTAGTTAATTTGTACTTGTTCCTATTTTACTTGCATTTTTTGCTATAGTTATTTTTATATCTAGAATTTATTTTGTAATTGCTCCTAATCTCATTGCATAAATAGCAATGAACATTTATGCATAAGGTTGCATAAATAGCAAACAGGCTATTTATGCAACCTTGTATAGACCCAGAACTGAACCTCTTATCAAGTATCTTTGACAATCACTTTAATGATTAAAAGTGTAGGCATTATACAGCATACGATGTAAGCAATGTATAACACATTATCACAAAGTATCTATAATTAACTTGAATGTAAGATCGCTAAGCAAACACTCTGATGATGTTAGTGCCCCAATTCAAACAGTTGACAACAAATTCACCTTAATTATACTTACTGAAATGTGGTTGAGAGTGGATACAACAGAACTCTTCAACATACCAAACTACTCGGCAATTCACAACTGTCGGGCAATCCAGAGAGGTTGTGGTACTGCTCTCTACTACCACCAAGAACTGACTTGCTTAAAGGTAATTAGAACTAGACACACCTGTGGTGAGTATATCTTTGCCAATTCAGAGTCAAGGGTGCCAAGGCTGACTTGACTGTGGGAGCAGTGTATAGAAGTCCTAATATGGATGTTGCTGAATTCAACTCTAACCTTAGAAATCTAATATTGTACTAACGAACAAACTTAACAAAAACCAAATACGTAATGCTATTAAGTGATTTTATCTAATAACCTGAGTGAACTAATACTATTCGGTGACATGGAAAATTCTTTTCCATGTTGTGGCGCAGTCAACTAGAACGTGCATCTGGGAACACCCAGTGCACGTACATACCCAGCGCACAGCATTCGGACCCCCATCACGGCTCCTGTGGATTTGTTCATTGATATATCACGATAACGTGATTTCTCTGTGTATTGAGAGTGTCAGAGGTAGAACTACTAAATGACAGAACCACAGTACATGGGAGAAATATGTGAAACCCTGGTTCGGCTTCAGTGGAAGCCTCGGGATCCTTGAGGGTGCAGTAATACCCCATGTTGCAATTCTTTTCAATCTCGTGGTGCAGTCAACTAGAGCGTGCATCTGGGAACACACAGCACATAGGTTCGAACCCTCATCACGGCTCATGTGGATTTGTTCAATGATATATCACGATAATGTGATTTCTCTGAGTATTATTATTATTATTATTATTATTATTATTAAAACATTGCCTCACGCATAGGAGATAAAGCATTTCTGGATAAATCAACCGTCTGCTTAACTGAAATGTCAATACCTCGTTAATCCAGGGGTAAGGATACAAGTACAGTATCAGGATGAGGAATGAAAGTGGGGGTGGAATCACTAGGTACCTCTATTGAAGTTCTCTTCCTGCCACCTGGTGGCAAGAGAGGGTAACAACAAAGTGGTCAAGTAGCTGCTTATGAGTAGCTGAGTAATGCTTGGTGGCGAATCTGAATCCAAGCATTGCTTAGAGGAGGTTTTGAGTGTACCGTACATTACATTAATGTATTTCCTGGCAGTCATTCTGGGCTAGATTATGAATTTTTCAGTTTCTTTTGTTTTCTATTATTGTATGGCACAGCAGAGGTGGTCAGTAGTACTCATATTGGTGATGTGTGTAAGATCACTAGAAATGATCGCTGCTGCATCAGGGATTAAACTAGTTTCAGTTCTGAACGGGGGAAAAGTGTGTCTCAGAGAAATCATGACACGTACAAGAATGTAAGAACTCTTGTATATATAAATAAAAAAATAAATAAAAACTTGCATAAGGCAGCAACAGAGTGAGATTAGTCGAGAAAAAACGACGTGACAGTGTAAACAAAGTACTGTACAGTAAATTCAGTGTTGTGAAAATTGTTCAACAGAATGAATTACAGTATAATGATTAGATAATTGGCATTAGAAAAAATAATAAGAGAAAATTCTAATATAAAAGAGTCGAATAGAAAAGTGGGAGAAGTGAACTGTACGGAAGTTCCAAACAAGCATGAAAACATATGAAAATGTAATCAGGCAGCACTGAGCAACCACATGAATCCTAAAGACGAAGGAAAGAAACAAGAGAGAAAAAGAACTCGGCCAAGGAACCCAACAGAATATAGAAAGTAGACCAGTCAAAAAGGTATGAAAGAGGTGGAGGAAAATAGAATAAATATTGTGCATAATGATTCCTACACTAAAACAAGGAGTGTGTAGTTAAATGGAGCAGAGCAGCAGCAGTTGTTTTTATTCATTGCCAAGGAAACAGGTGTAACACTAAAAGCAACAAGACCTGAACAAGGGAAGAATTAAATATACCTGTACAACAGACAAATTTAATGCAGGACATTCTTTAAAATAAACACAATAAATTACATTTTAATTTTAAACCTTAAAAGTACTGGGTATTGTAATTCAGGAAAAATTTATTGAAAGAAAACTTTTACAATGTCTAAAAGCTGCACACAAACAAAATAAGTTTCCCAAATGAGAGAATTTCAGATGAACCTGTCTTAAGATTCTAACTTGTCAGAGGAACCTGTGTCAAGATACTTACTTGTCTAATTTGAGAGACTTCACTTTGGATACGTGTGTGCCTAATCTTCTGTGCCACGTGGCGCACGTTGTGCACAAAAATATTCCTATGTTGAACGACGCCCATTCTGGATCTGCAAGACAACGTGCATAATAAATATTTAAACCTTACAGTGTCTTGTAATGAACACACACCTACATAAAGGTCCCACAATTTGCAAAGTTATACAATTTTCATACAAAATTATGAGAAACTGTGGAATTTTGTTAAGAATACTTAGGATGCTGTAACTTATGGGGATATCTTTTGTAAATTGATCTAATGAAATCAGATTTCATCAGTTAGCTTCTATGTAATTAGGTAAACTAATGTGAAGGAGCATGATGAAGGAAGAAGCATGAGAAGGAACAAATGTGAAGGAGCATGATGTAACTATACAGGTTAACCACTACAACCAAATGCCAATCTTTCCAGCAGCCAAATAACAGAGAGAAGCTTGCCAATACAATTACTGTACTGAAGGCCAATGCTAACCAAAGCTTCCAAATCCATGCAAAGATGAAAAGATCTGTTGTAAATCCAAAGAATGAAGGCACATCCACCTTCATTGCCATCTGAATCAGAGGAAAACAAAAACAATCTTCTTTAAGCACATTTGAGACCCATCAAATGCAATCTCCCGTTGAGGACAAAATCTTTAGAAACTTTTTGAGGCACTATGACAAGGGCCTCAACACCACAACTGAAAGATCAGAAAAGCCTTTTCACCACCTGACAGAGGAGGTACTGCACCACCGGAGAACTGTGCAAGTGCAGCCGTAGAGTCGAGCCTTAAGGAAGAGATACAAAATGATGTAACATCGAAATTCACACAGTGATGACTCGCATCAATGTGTGAATTTCGATGTTAAAACATTTTGTATCTCTTCCATGGCACATCAACCATGGAGGCCAATGTCCATGTCCAACATAGTGACAGCTGGTAACAAAGCCCCAGCCAATGAGCCAACTGGAAACATTAATAAAGAACTTATAAATTGGAGCAATAAATCCTAAGAAAATGGGAAAATAGCAAAACAAGATAATCCAGAAGGTAAATCGAGTGAGTGGCACACGAATCTCGGACTGGTGAAGAAGCCTTGAGCCATAGCCATCCTGGAGGATACATGATGCATTTGAAATTCAGGCAACCCAGAAGATTCTGAGCATTGCAGCAGCTTATCATTGCAACACTGGAACATCTAAAATAATATGAAAACACCACTATTGAGACCTTACACATCCTGCCTTTTAATACAAGATCTTAACATTTGATGGTTCCCAAATAACGAACAGTCAAACATCAGGACACCTAGTATCTGTCTCTCTCTCTCCTCTCCTCTCCCCACTCCCAATGCAAATCTCTATATGTACATCCATTGAAGAATGTTGCCTTATAACTGTAGAATGAAAATGAAGGGAGGTACTATATATACCATAATATTTTCTTTGTGTTTACCTAAGGGCCACTATACCGTACTGAATTCCTAATGGCCTCAATGGGGACAGGAAGTCATTGGCTTATCAAAAATCCCCTATTGTTCCTGAGGATTTTTTCTATCTGGATTTTAAACTGAAGTGATGTCTTGGCATTTAAGGTTTCAGCAGGTTGGTGGCTCCACGTGTTTATAACCATATAGGTGAAAAAGCATGTCCCGTTTTCTGTCCTTCATTGTGGCTTGCTGACCTTGAAGTTGTTGCCCCCTTGTTAGTGTTACCTTTAACCTTTTAAAGAAGTGGTCTGGATCAATATCCTCCAAATTGTTTAATATTTTAAAGGTATCAATGAGATCAGCCCTGTCATGTTTGGTGGTTGTTAGCCCTGTGGCCCTCAACTATTCCTGGTATGAGAGTTGACTTACTTCTTGGATGATTTTTTATGCTCGTGTTGAACTCTCTCCAAAGAAGAGATTTTGAAGGTGAGGTCTGTATTAGCAAGGTTTTCACATCCTTTTGATGGTGAGGTCTGTACTGGTAACATTCATGTCTTTTTTATGGTGAAGTCTGTATTAGTAACTTTCATATCTTTTTTATGGTGAGGTCTGTACTGGCAATGTTTATGTCTTCTTTGATGGCGAGGTCTGTATTGGCAAGGTTCATTTACAAATGGGTGATATGTGTCTACACCTGGTGATTTGCACCAGCGTGTCTCGACATTTATCTTTATGATGAAATTTCTGATGCCACTGTCTTTGATTAATATCCTTGCAGGGATTGCATGTACAACAACCATTTCAGTGTCATTTATTGAGGGTCTAGATAGTACAGATGGGCTCGTTCTTGACTAACAATCGAGTATTCCGGGTTCAAATCCCACCCGGGACAGAAATGGTTGTCTGCATTTCCTACTATTTATTTACTTATCACCTAATGCTCCTGTTTACCTAGCAGTAAGTAGGTACCCAGGATTTAGTCAGCTTGTTGAGGGTTGCATCATAAGGTCAGCACTTCGACATTTGGGAGGGGGGGGGGCTCAATATAAGCCTAAAATGTATACATACACGCTGGCTTTCTGTCCAACACTAAGGATTCTAATTATAAATTCATTCTGAGTGTATGTAATTAGACGAAAAGAACACTGAGTATTAAACACATTTGTGATTAGTTTGATAATATGTGCAATGCATTGGTTGTGCAACAGGCTAACTATAGCCTAGCTTAACCTTTTAAAAGTGTAGGAATTATATTAAGTGTAATATATTTGCTCCAAATTCTGAGAAGTTTCAATGTGCCTGTTAATTCCACATAACCTATTCTTAAGAATTCCACATTCCAAGAAGTTCTACACTAATCCTGTATGTGCTAATTGCCATTAATATCTCTTCCCAAGGGTACAGGATCAAGCAGGCCAGCCAACAGGTAACTTAACAAAGCGAGATGCTTGTAATATAAGCCATCAATAGTTACAACTGCACAAAAACATTTTCACAAGCTCCCTCAGTGAAAGCTCAGCTCCCTTATGGCTCACATTACTGGCTATCCACAAAGTCGTTTTAAAAGTAGTCACGAAACCTGACCTTGTACTGTAATTTACATATCAAACTTCTGATTTTTATTATACAGTAACATATCCTTCACAAGACGATTTACTCTTTGTAGTACGGTAAGTTATCCAAACAGGAAATGCTTCCGTAAAGAATTAATCAGTGAGATAACTGGCCCAAATGTGGCACTCTTTAAGCAAAAACTTCGTAAGTGTCAGAATGCTTTCGTTTAACAGGCCACATACAAGCAAAACTAAATGCTTAATTGTCCACTTCATGTTCTATTCCTAAAATGCACCTCAAATGATACCCCAACACTCCTATACATGAAAACCCAAGTAACAGTAGCATCATTACTCTACACAACCCAAGTAACAGTAGCATCATTACTCCCACACAACCCAAGAAACAGTAGCATCATTACTCTACACAACCCAAGTAACAGTAGCATCATTACTCTCCACAACCCAAGTAACAGTAGCATCATTACTCTACACAACCCAAGTAACAGTAATATTATTACTCTACACAACCCAAGTAACAGTAGCATTATTACTCTACACAACCCAAGTAACAGTAGCATTATTACTCTACACAACCCAAGTAACAGTAGCATTATTACTCTACACAACCCAAGTAACAGTAGCATTATTACTCTACACAACCCAAGTAACAGTAGCATTATTACTCTACACAACCCAAGTAACAGTAGCATCATTACTCCCACACAACCCAAGTAACAGTAGCATTATTACTCTACACAACCCAAGTAACAGTAGCATTATTTCTCTACACAACCCAAGTAACAGTAGCATTATTACTCTACACAACCCAAGTAACAGTAGCATTATTACTCCCACACAACCCAAGTAACAGTAGCATCATTACTCCCACACAACCCAAGTAACAGTAGCATCATTACTCTACACAACCCAAGTAACAGTAGCATCATTACTCCCACACAACCCAAGTAACAGTAGCATCATTACTCTACACAACCCAAGTAACAGTAGCATCATTACTCTCCACAACCCAAGTAACAGTAGCATCATTACTCTCCACAACCCAAGTAACAGTAGCATCATTACTCTACACAACCCAAGTAACAGTAGCATTATTACTCTACACAACCCAAGTAACAGTAATATTATTACTCTACACAACCCAAGTAACAGTAGCATTATTACTCTACACAACCCAAGTAACAGTAGCATTATTACTCTACACAGCCCAAGTAACAGTAGCATTATTACTCTACACAACCCAAGTAACAGTAGCATTATTACTCTACACAACCCAAGTAACAGTAGCATCATTACTCTACACAACCCAAGTAACAGTAGCATCATTACTCCCACACAACCCAAGTAACAGTAGCATCATTACTCTACACAACCCAAGTAACAGTAGCATCATTACTCTCCACAACCCAAGTAACAGTAGCATCATTACTCTACACAACCCAAGTAACAGTAGCATTATTACTCTACACAACCCAAGTAACAGTAGCATTATTAATCTACACAACCCAAGTAACAGTAGCATTAATCTACACAACCCAAGTAACAGTAGCATCATTACTCTACACAACCCAAGTAACAGTAGCATCATTACTCTACACAACCCAAGTAACAGTAGCATTATTACTCTACACAACCCAAGTAACAGTAGCATTATTACTCTACACAACCCAAGTAACAGTAGCATTAATCTACACAACCCAAGTAACAGTAGCATTAATCTACACAACCCAAGTAACAGTAGCATCATTACTCTACACAACCCAAGTAACAGTAGCATCATTACTCCAGGTAAAGGGTCCCTCCCACTACCTCCATGACACTGGGAGAGGCCCCTAGCACTGTGTGAGAGCAGGAAGGGTCCCTCCCACTACCTCCATGACACTGGGAGAGGCCCTAGCACTGTGGGAGAGCAGGAAGGGTCCCTCCCACTACCTCCATGACACTGGGAGAGGTCCTAGCACTGTGGGAGAGCAGGAAGGGTCCCTCCCACTACCCCCATGACACTGGGAGAGGCCCTAGCACTGTGGGAGAGCAGGAAGGGTCCCTCCCACTACCTCCATGACACTGGGAGAGGCCCTAGCACTGTGGGAGAGCAGGAAGGGTCCCTCCCACTACCTCCATGACACTGGGAGAGGTCCTAGCACTGTGGGAGAGCAGGAAGGGTCCCTCCCACTACCCCCATGACACTGGGAGAGGCCCTAGCACTGTGGGAGAGCAGGAAGGGTCCCTCCCACTACCTCCATGACACTGGGAGAGGCCCTAGCACTGTGGGAGAGCAGGAAGGGTCCCTCCCACTACCTCCATGACACTGGGAGAGGCCCCTAGCACTGTGGGAGAGCAGGAAGGGTCCCTCCCACTACCCCCATGACACTGGGAGAGGCCCTAGCACTGTGGGAGAGCAGGAAGGGTCCCTCCCACTACCTCCATGACACTGGGAGAGGCCCTAGCACTGTGGGAGAGCAGGAAGGGTTCCTCCCACTACCTCCATGACAGAGATGAACTGGGAGCCTGTCTGAGACGAGTGTGCGAGTCACTCCCAGTGCCTCCGTGGCACTGGGAGATGGCCCCCCATGGCACTCTAAAGAAGAGTAGAGAGACTCCCAGTGCCCGTGTGACACTAGACAGCGGGGCACTATAGGAGCCATGGCAGAACAGAAAGGCGTGAAGGCCACTCCCAGTGCCTGCCTGGCACTCTCCTCCTCCTCCTCCCCCTTAAACAGGGCAATCTCGTCCCTCCTTACTTTCGAAGCCACAGTCTGCGCACTGGGTGTTGCCCGACTGCTTCACCAGTTCAGTGATCCTGCGGGAGTTCCTGTCACTCATGGCTCGCACAACACGGCACTAGGACGGCACTGAGCCTCACTGGGGCACTGGCATATTTTCAGACTTAGCGGGAGAGGTGTTGCCTGTCGGGCTGGCCCGCGCCTGCTGCTGCTGCGGCTGCTGCTAGACCTCTCTCCTCGCTCTCTCGCTCTCTCTCTCACTCTCTCACTTCTCATGGACCTTCTCTCTCCCTCACAGGCCCCTCCGCGGGTTAATTATTTGTAAATCAAGCCTGAAATATTGTACTAAAGTTGTATAATAAGGTGATTAGTGAATATATAGCGAGTGGTCGCACCCTGGTGACGTCAGTGTCAGTTGCCAGCGATCGTTGTGTGGGGCGAATATATACATATATATATATGTATATCACTTTCTAGTTAACATTTTCACTTTATATATATATATATATATACAAGTTATAAGATATAAAACCTATACATTTTTCTCGAGATTCTTCCACTAATTTTGAGTTGTCACGGGGTGATTTGGTAGTGAAGTTTGTGTAGAGGAAGTTCCGAAAAGACTTGATGAAGCGACGGTCTGTGCAGTGATCACTGCTCTTCATAACTCATCACCATACAGCTCTATACACCGCAAACTATACTTGTATTCATCATATCTCACATATTACATACATATTGACCACATCGCATTAATTAAATTACATTGGGAGCAACGAAAATAAGTATATATATTTATGCTTGTATAGATATTGCACCTGTTTCTGTCAAAATTAAATGTGAAGTTAAATGAAATTAATGAGCTATTCTGAAATGCGGACTCGATGCTTTCTTTCCAGCTAGTGAGTCACGGACTACTGTCAGTGACTCGTCCGTGTCAAGGTGAGTCACTGCCTGTCAGTGACAGTCATGAAAATGCTGGCTGGAATGTAACCTTCTAGACTGTTAACACTTTGACACACTTCCTCACGAAACGCCGATTTAAACGATAAAGGCAAACTAATAAAATCTGGTGACTTTTTTTTTTTAATTTTGCCCCGAGGGGCGAGTTTATAGGGCAGTCACTCATCCTGTGAGTGGACACACCGCCATAGTGACAGTATTGGGCAGCGCCACTCATCCTGTGAGTGGACACACCGCCATAGTGACAGTATTGGGCAGCGCCACTCATCCTGTGAGTGGACACACCGCCATAGTGACAGTATTGGGCAGCGCCACTCATCCTGTGAGTGGACACACCGCCATAGTGACAGTATTGGGCAGCGCCACTCATCCTGTGAGTGGACACACCGCCATAGTGACAGTATTGGGCAGCGCCACTCATCCTGTGAGTGGACACACCGCCATAGTGACAGTATTGGGCAGCGCCACTCATCCTGTGAGTGGACACACCGCCATAGTGACAGTATTGGGCAGCGCCACTCATCCTGTGAGTGGACACACCGCCATAGTGACAGTATTGGGCAGCGCCACTCATCCTGTGAGTGGACACACCGCCATAGTGACAGTATTGGGCAGCGCCACTCATCCTGTGAGTGGACATACCGCCATAGCAGCATGTACAACACACTGCCCAATAGGAAGAAAACCCGCTGGGTTGTTCATCCTGTCACTTGTACCAAGACACAGCTGGGACTTGCTAAACTGTCTCAAGTGAACAGCTCCTCAAACTAGAAGATTAACATCTATCAACCCTTAAAATCTTGCGTTATCTTGCGGGTACAAAATGGGGATATCTTTTAAGAACAGTATCAATATTTGACAAATAGTGTTTTCCTAACTCAAACAATGTGGGGTTTATTATTCTACAGTTATTTCTAATGTCTCTCAGGTGTTCACATTCACGTATATAGTGGTCAAGGCGGTGTCCGTCACTCTCACCACAGATTCTGCAACTCCTCTGATCAACCTGTTTCCATTATTAATATACTAAACTGTGTAAAGGAGTACCTGACAGACTAAAAACAAAGAGGAACAGTCAAAAGAGGAGGTACTGACCTGGAGGGATGTGATAAATGGAGGTCCCACAAGGATCGGTCCTGGGGCCGTTGCTGTCTATATTTTATATGAATGACATCTATGCATATACCCGAGGGAGTGAACGTGTACACTGCTAATGTTTGCATATAACATAAAGCTAATGGGCAGTGTAATTTAGCGCGAGGACGGCAACCATCCTTACCAGCAGAGAGAGAGTAACCATTCATGAGAATGTTCTCATGATGTTGAAACCATCCTCGACGCTGCCTTAGAACAAGGGGGTTGTTAAGACAACACTGCCACCTGCTCACAATCTTTCTCGCGTAGGAAATAGCTCCTGGCTGCCTTGTATTTATGTATTTATTTATTTATTTATTTATTTATACATTTTTATCAACCTAGAAGGTGTACCACCTCTGGTGCAAGTGTAGGGACCCATGGCCTCGGAGAAGAGTTGTTACAGTCTTGTACAGCCACTAACACGCATAGCATTTCGGGCAGGTCCTTAATCCTAATTTTTCCCCGGAATACGACCCGCCAAATCGTATAACAACCCATTCACTGCTCGGTGAACAGAGGCTGGGGTGGTGCCCAGTCAATCCTCTTCGGCCAGTATACGAACCCAGGCCAAAGCGCTCGGGAAGCGTGCTTTACCACTACGCCACGGGGACCCTCATTAATTATAAAAAAATAGTAAGATAGAAATTCAATTTAATTTATATATATATTCATGGACTATAAAGATTTCTTTTGTGAAATATAAGAAATATTGTTTACGAAAGGTAAAGTTCCCGTCTACCTAAGAGTGACTATTTAATTCACATTTAGAGATGAATCTATCACAAATGTTACAAAAATGTGTATTACATACAAAATTATATACTACTAAAAATCTTAAGCAAATATCCCAAGTCATTTCTGGGGAGTGGATTGTTGTTGTTGTTATAGAATCAGCTACTCGGAACAAGTTTCAAGTAGCACGGGCTATGGTGAGCCCGTAGTGGACTTACCTGGCACAGGAGCGGGGCTATGGTGAGCCCGTAGTGGACTTACCTGGCACAGGAGCGGGGCAAGTAGCACGGGCTATGGTAAGCCCGTAGTGGACTTACCTGGCACAGGAGGAGGGGTGCTGTGTAGACGCGGGGGGGTGTGGGGGGGGGGAGTTTTCAGTTGCGTATATGCTTGGGGACCAGTCAAGCTTGTTTTCATTTGTGTTGCTCAAGTGGCCCCACAAAGTGAGGTGATTTAATGAAATAATTGTGCCCAAGATTACCACCAAGTGCCGTCGGGACGGTAGGGGGAAATAGCCTCGGCTACCATCGTCTTTTTGTACGGTCACTGTTGGTCGAGTGGTTAAGGTACCATGTACACCAGTTTCATTGTGCTCCTGGCTGTCTGGGTTCGAGTCACTTCTGGGGTGTGAAGTTTACAGTCATATATATATATATATATATATATATATATATATATATATATATATATATATATATATATATATATATATATATATACAACAATGATCACAAAAACACTGATCCAAGTATGCAGAATAACCACATATGAAAAATAGAAAATGCTTAACGCGTTTTCGGCTAATTCGCCTTCATCAGAGCAAAGTAGAATGATTCTACTTTGCTCTGATGAAGGCGAATTAGCCGAAAACGCGTTAAGCATTTTCTATTTTTCATATGTGGTTATTCTGCATATATATATATATATATATATATATATATATATATATATATATATATATATATATATATATATATATATATATATATATATATATATATATATATTCTTTGCTAATATTCTTCTTCTAATATTCTAATATTCTATTCTAATATTCTCTTCTAATATTCTTTGCCAAAGGACGGGAGGATGGCATGCAAGACACGGTGAGGTTAATGACATTATTAAGAGAAGCCTTACCACAGCCGGTTGTCCAGCAGAGAGAGAGCCCCGTTACCTAATGTCCCGCAACTCTGATGAGCCTGTCGGTCGCCCAGACGAAATTACGGTGAACCCCTGGAAGAATGGTAGACAGTTGGTGTGGGACTACACTTGCGTTTCAACTTTAGCCAATACCTATGTTGACTTCAGTGCTACACAAGCAGGAGGAGCTGCCAATCACCGGGAAGCGGCCAAGTCACGTAAATACAGAGACCTTGAGCACCACTACAATTTTGTCCCCATTGCCTCAGAGACACTTGGTGCCTGGGGTAAAAGTGCTGCTAGCTTTTGAAGGAGTTGGGGGTCTAAGCTAATGGAAACAACTAGAGACTCTAGAGCTGCCAGTTTTCTTTTTCAGCGCCTTAGTGTGGCAATCCAGAGAGGAAATGCTCACTACATCCATGGTTCCTGTCCGCCATCTGAGGAGCTGGAGGAGCTGTTCAACTTGTGACAAGCAGCCTTGTACCCTGCATGTAATCAATATTGTAACTTTTTTTGTGTAATGACATTTTCAAATAAAGTTAGATAAATATACACACTTAACAAAAGAATAGGGGTGGTAGGAGAAGAAAATATCAAAGTGTTCAGTGAGGATCCACAAGGTCTTCTCTGAGTACTCTTTATTTTCTTCTCCGAGGCTATGGGTCCCTGCACTTGCACCAGAGGTGGTACCCCTTATATATATATATATATATATATATATATATATATATATATATATATATATATATATATGTATATATATATATATATATATATATATATATATATATATATATATATATATATATATATATATATGTAACAATGTAAAACACACACACACACACACACAGAGACAGTAGTAACTAGAACTCAACGGGATCATGAGAAAGATGGACCGCCTTCCTCTGGTGCAAGGAGGGGCAGTACCCGCTGGGTCCTCTGTTCTCTCCCCAGGGTTG